GTCGGGGGCCCGGCTGCTTTACGGGGGAAAAAGGACCTGCCTGTACGAGTATTAATCCTCTGTTAGCTCGGATCCTATGCGATGGCAGATGAGAAACACATCCGCAAATCCACATTTTTTTCCCCTGCCTGTATCTGTTATCCTTGTGTTGCATACCAAGGGTTGTAACCCTTTTCAGACCGAGCCCATTTTTATTGTTACGCAGAGCCCAGCACAACAGCGCTTGGGTCCATGGTGATGTTGCTAGGCTGCCGTAACGATGTCGTAACATTTTGTTTTGTTTTCCAGCAGGTCATGTCGGTTCATCCAGATCTTCACCAGCACTATGTGAGGGTCTGCCAAAACTTGGGCCAACCTGAAAACCCCTTCATTGCTCATGTACTTCAAGAAGCTGATAAAAATGATAAAATGTAAGGAAGTAACGAACAGCGTGTTTCAGATGCTTCTGAAAGCCTTAAACGAGATAGCAGGACAAGGAATTGAACAAGAAAGTTCATGCAGTTTCAGGCTTAAACACAAATCATATTTAGCATTTACTGCTGAAGTTCTGGTTTGACTCATCTTGACATCATCTTGGCAGAAGTTTGTAGCTATATATCCCTTCTGGGCAGCTTTACAAGCAGTGAAATCAAAAAAAGTGAAAAATGTACAGGATGGTGCCTTTGTGTCCCTTAAAGAAGCCAAACCCGGTGTCTAGTTATCCTAACTCCCTTCCTTTTGTCTCACTCCTGTTTAAAAAGCCTCAGCTGCATCCAGTTAGCTTCCAGCTGGTAATGCTTCCCTGAACTGTCTCTGAATCCTGCCAAGGTATTAACCACCCAAATTCCCCCTCATTATATGGTTAGGTAGGGCTTCCTCTCATGGATGCTCCTAGGGTCACAGTTAATTGTCCTTTGGAGAGAAAACCTGAGAAAATACAGCATAGTGAAATGGTTTGTGTTAAGTTTTGATCCTGAGGGAAGGATAGAGTAAATAAAGGAAAGGGAATAAGTAAAAAGGAGATGATGAGGTAAACTCCAGTATAATCTTTATTTCCATCTGCCTTCCCCCTCATCTTGCTTCTTCCTGCTTTCTCTGCATGTGTGCTAAGCATGGTCTTGCAGCTGTGCAGTGTCTTCAGAATATCAAAAAAGACAGTGCTGAGGTACAGCTTGAATCATGTCATCTGTCATGGTGTTACCAAAGGTAGCGGCAGCAACTAACTGCATGCAAACACATCAGTGAGGGCAAGCATAGATACACTTCTTATCTGGAGAGAGAATTAATTTCTCTGTATCATTTTACTTCTCCCCATGTGCTTACTTTTTTATGTTACAGCAGATGGACAAATGAGATCACATTAAAAATAGCTGGAAATAATCATCTAGTGCCTGTGCAGAGAGTTACAGATGACGATCTTCAAGTTCTTGCCTCTGTCTTATGCAATACTGTATTTGTCACAGGTAAGTTTTTTTCATGTATGCTTGACATCACTGTGCTAATATAAGAAAATATAAGCAGTCTTGATTTCAGTTTCAGTTCATCTTTATTTCTTTTTGTTTAGAGATCGGTTAATTGTAGATAAGCATCTGTCACATTCTTTGTTCTTCGTCTTTTTCAGGTTTGGATCTTAGGTTTAATGTATTGACTGATGCTGGAGCAAAGCACATGGCAACATTCCTCCAGGTGCCAAAATGATATTTATCATTCAGCAACTTGTCATTTATTTGGCTATGATAATATTTATCTGTGGTAGATTGGAGACAAGAATGCATTGGTTAGGCAAAATTCCATGCATTTTGACTTTCACATCCAAATCCATCCCACCAGAATCTCAGATTATGTTCTCTGGGGAGATTTTTAATGTCTGGTAGAAAACTGTTAGACGCTTGGCTAGGGTGTCATGAAGAAAGAACAGTGGAATAAACTGTGGAGCTTTTAGGCTTACAGTTCAATTCAGCAAGGGGGTTAATGGTAGTGGCAAGTGTGCCAGGGCCTTTGTTTTAGATACTTTGTCATCTCTGTTAGTCTTTTTGTAGGTATAAACATAGGAAACTTTAATGCTGCCTTTCGGTCATTGTGAGCACCAGAATACAGATGGAAAACAGTGAGTTGCCACTCAGTGCCTGGGTTCCTAGAGCTCAGGGAGGGCCATTAAGTTCACAAAATGCCTGAAGATCTGCATCTCAGCTTGACCACCTGCCTCCTTTGGTCATCCTGAGCACGCGGGTTCCTAGGTGGTTTCTGTAAGCCCCATGAGGACCTACACACTACATGGTTTTCTGCCTTTCCGTCACCATCTGACGTACTTTGGCATTCTTTAACTACCTCTCCAAATCAGGGGCTGCCTGAAATGCAGCGAAGGACAGAGGTTTTAAGTACCTGTATGATGCATCTCCTTTTTGAAAAATGCGGGCGTGCTCTGGAAAACAGTCTCATTGCTTTCTGCTTTGTTTGTTCCTAAGGAAAACTCCACTCTGCGGTACCTTAACCTGATGTTTAATGATATTGGCACAAGTGGAGCAGAACTGATAGCGAGAGCACTCCATGTGAGTATTTGTCTGGGAGATTTAGACAATGGTATCTAGTTTGATATTTTTGCTTTTGATGAACAGTACGAGCTGTCCTGCCAACATCAGAGCTGGCTGAAAGGGCCCTCTGTCTTCAGTCCATTCAGCATTTTGCTGTATCGCAGGGATTGCTTGTTTGCCCAAGGCAGACTTCAGAAATCAGGTTTCACATAAGAGAAAGTTGCACTGTGCTGCCATTAACACTTAATTATCACAGCTATCACAGCTGGATTTTTCTGTGTGAAAAATGCTATGCTATGTTATAGGATATATAATGCCATCATTTTTTTCCCTTTTCTTTTTTTCATATTGTATTCAATTTGCCTGTACCTTGATGTCAATATTTGTCTTGATTCAAGATGTCTGAGACATGTTTTCAAAACTTTGCCTTACAGCAGCAGCCTAGAAACATGTTTGTTATTTTTAATGTGGTTTCCCAAGGAAATGAGGCTTGTGCGTATGATTTGTTGTGTTTGTGAAATGAGACTCACGTGAGCTCTTTCTTCCTCCTTCACAGTCTTTGAACTCTGAACTGATTTCAACTCAATTTGACAGGCCTCCAAAATGCTGCGGTTGTACAGTAGCCCCTTGGCTGCGTGGGGCAGGGGGGTTCCGGGGGTGAAGGGGCTGTGTTATTGAGGGAGGGAGAGGGAAGGAGGTGCTGTAGGGAGATATCACAGCAGGGGAAGGGGTTCTGGGGACATGTGGAAGGCATAAAAGCCGTATGAAACCAGGCTTCATTCGTTCCGCTGCTCACAGAACTACTTGTTTTGTAATCACTTAATCAATCATAATCTCTGGTAATGAGAGATTACTGAGTAGTACTGAGGAATTAAAAATACAAAACTACTCTGCATTGCATTTAGGGCTTTAACAGTGAATAGATATTTCGCATCCATTGAAATTCTGTGGAGAGTGAGGGGAAAGATGCTGGCTTCTCTAGATCTCCAATCAGAACTTTATATTTTGCCAGTGAAGTCTCCAGTCCAGCAAACGCTGGTTTGACTCTGCACCAAGTAGTCCTACTGAAGGCAACCGGCTTCACTGAGCTTTGACTGGTCTTGTGATTTAACAGACTATGAAAAATAACACAAATTATATTCTTGTTTAAAATACGCTTACTAGGTTGAAACAGTTTTGATATAATTTGCATTTCAGCTGCCAATTGAGGCAGAAATATCTGCCTGGATTATTTCCATGAGCGTGAAATTTGTGAACTTAGGAGAAAAAAAAGTTTTCAAATACTTGAGTTTTGCTTCCAGACTCTCATGTGTTTGACTCTGCTATGGGGAGCCTAAGCCAACTGCTTAGTCAGTGTTATCACTTAGACACAATTCTTCTGGAGGGATGTTTTGTCTTTGTGTGACAACCAGCAGGATTCACAGGAAAAAGGACAGTGTTGTTTTTCAGGCCATTTAAAAGGAATTGATTTTTCTTTTTTTCCCCCCCCTTAATTTTGTCTAGAGGAATGAAACTCTTGTGTACTTGAGAATGACTGGAAACAAAATAGGAAACAAAGGTGGGATGTTCTTTGCTGCGATGCTACAAATTAATTCAACCCTAGAGAAGCTGGATCTTGGAGACTGTGATATGGTGAGTAACCCAGTAAAATTCTCAGCAATGACCTAAGTCTTTCAAGGGTATTACAAAGGTCCTGCAGTGCTTAGTTAGGGAAAAATGCCGTCTGTTGTCATTTATTTTACATTTTGTGATAGCCGGAGGTAACACAATATATAATAACACAATGCATACTTGGAAAGGCATGTTGCATAGAACACCTGTGAAGTCGTAACTGCTGATACATTAGAGCCACTGTGTCCCTGGGAATTCAGGTGCTTGGCTTTTGCATTTTCCAAGGTTTGTTTCTGCGGTTCATTTCTGTTATGCTGTCTAAGTCCTGTGTAATTCATGTTGAAGAAGGACTCCTTATTCCCTGGAGGTTCTGTTCCTTCTAAAATGTTTAGTGCTGTAACGCCTGAAAGTCACCCAGTCCCAGAGCTCTGTTGCTCCTACCAGAGCTGGGTCCGTAAAGGACATAGGCGCAGGAGTGCCGAGTTGAGTGGAAAGGTAAGGTTTGATCTTAGGTGACTTGCCACCTCCTGGAGCTGGGTGCTCAGACTTCTTACACAGTGCGCAGGGAAAGTCAGGAGGGTAGAAATGGGTCAATGCACTACGCAGGGCGCTTCCTACTCCAGCCAGTAAAAGAGTAAAAGCCTGCGGATGGCTTTTAAAAACCTGTGGGGTACAGCAGGAGGTAGCAACCGGAGCTGTGAACCTCCTCCTGCTGCAGGCTCCCAGTGCCTGACCGATGGCGTGTCCTTGCGTGATCGCGTCAGTGGGGCTGGGAGGTGGAAGTGGTTCTTCCCCCTGCTTGGGAGAACTTGGTATTGCCCTCCAGGAGAATGCTCTAACCAAGCTAGAAGTGAAATTAAGGTGGGACACTCTCAGTCTTCCTGTTAAGGGTGTTCATCTTTTCAGGAGATGGAGTGTATGTTGGGCAGAAGGAGTGAGTTTGGCTGGAACCTCACAGTTATCTCTGTCACCTGGAGGCAGGGAGAGAGCTGGGGTCAGATGAAAATTTTATTAGATTTGTTGCCTGGAATTACAGAATTTGCTCCTAAACTAGGAGGAGGAATACTTCTCAGAAACTGTGAAGGGTGTTATGAAAACATAAACAAGGAAAGTGTAGCCAGTGTAGGATTTATTTGAAAGCTTAGTGTTTCTCCTTGGTAGGGAGTTGATAGAAAACTGATTTAAAATGGAATAGCTCTGGGGGTAGACAAGCCTAATTGGAAAATAATGTAAATATATATTAGTGAGCAAACGAGAAAGAAATAAAAAAATCTGAACTGGCCTGTATTCTAGACTCTTACTACTCTGTACCGCATTAATTCACATTTAGTATGAATTTACCTAGTGGATAAATGTTACCTAAGACTTTTACCAAAGACCTTAGGGAACACACACAAACTGATTTTAATTCATAAACCAGGAAAACCAAAATACAGGATCAATTAAATGGACAAGTATCTTTGAGATGCATTATTCTTGCTTTTTATTTTCTGAGTTGCCAAATTTCATGGTCATTTGTGCTTCTTAGTCTAATTCCATTCTATTATTCCAGAGGGAGTTGGCACTGGTATTATCAGAAAATACATTTTATCTGTAAGCACTTGCCTGCCGCACTTGCATCTCTCCAGAGTACGTGGAGGCACAAATAATAGTATTTCCAATCTGAGCTCATTTGCTATTTTTGATCTTCTGACAATCAATTCTAAGAAGTCACGGTAATTTGGTAGCTTGATCTAGACGCTGGACACGTTTCTCTAAAGAGTTTATTTATTTTTGTTTCCAGGGTACGCAGTGTCTAATAGCAATAGCAACGGCCCTGGCTCAGAACAAATCAGTGAAAGCAATAAACCTAAATCGTCCTTTCCTATACAGCCAAGAGGTATGTAAGTAGACTGCAGTGTCAGCTCAAAGAGAGAAGCATAAGTAGTCAGTACTGATGTGTTTATGGTCAGCAGAGCTACGCGGCTCTCTGGGTTTCCTTACAAAGTGAAGTAAATGGTTGCAGAAATATTCTTTTTCTGCGCCAAGTTTTGTGCAGTCACAGGCTGGCCCTGTTTAACTAAGAGGTTAATTTTCCAAAAATTTCTTTCTTGGTACATATGCATTTGTTAAATAATGGGCTAATGGAGAGCGCTTGGTATTGGAGAACCAAGTATTCCTTCTGCTGTTACAGCATGGAGAGTTTTCTGCGTCCCTCAGCAAACCGAGGGAGAAGTGCTGTTTAGTAGGAAATGAGGGGAAGAACAAAAGACCGTTGTTTATCTGAGCAGCGCGATACGTGGGCAATTGCCAGAGCCCGCAGCCTAAAGCAGCGTGGCACACCAACAATATGCCATATTGACTGGGCTGCGCGGTTTTGTTGTTTCGCTAAGTGAACTTGAAGCATGAATTTAACAAGTGAATGAACCTCATCAACGCTAAAATCTATGCTGCATTTGTCAGCCAAAACAAAGACACAAACCCTCCAGAACAATCGAGCACCGAGAAGAAAATCTGCAAGGCAGCATTTGCTGGGGGCAGCGCCACAGGCCGCTGGACGTGTACAGGTGCACGGAGCTGCGGGGCTTTTGCTTGCAGGCATGCT